CTGTGTAGAGACACTTGGGGTATGGTACCTATTCCTAGGATCTAGGTCTACTGTTTTCTTCATGTGTGACAGAGCTTTACTTTGGAGCCAAAGGTTGAGATCTGCATATCTAGACTACCTTGGCCGCTCTGGAAGAACACTAAAAATACATGTTGGACACCATTCATTACATGCCTGCTTTTTTTTTTGTGTTTACTATAGCACACGTTCCCTTTAAATGCAAAGGGCATCAGAGGTTTCTAAATAGAAATCGCAACATGATATAAATTTCCTCTTGTGATGTAATAAAGCTAGAATGTCACAAATAAAACACACATGTCGTACCGTAAAACTTCAAACGTTGTATAAAACACATCAGGTTGTATAAACCTTACCTACAAAGTGATTGAAAAAACGGCACTCTGAAACATTCACACTAACAGAACCAAGTACAGGGCTGCTCATGATCCAGTCTGCCTGGACTCAGCCGAGGTGTGCAAGTATGCCTGGAGAAATAGCATTAGTTCACACATAGAATGTCAAACAGAATTGTGATCACCAGAAACAACAAGCTGATTGAGGTCATTCTGTCTGACAAGCAATTATTTTATCCATATTAATCACGTGGAACAGCCTTTCAGAAACCAAATAGTTCCACAAAAGTTATTTCAACTTTGCTAAATCTGCAATTACAAAATTGGGTCTGGGCATATTGAAATTCATCAGCTTGTCCAAAGAAAGTGGAAAATAAAAAATAGAAAGGATCGCATTGATGTCCCGTCTAAGCATTAATGTAATACATCCCTGTTTGCCAAATTGTGCCTGCTCCTAAACATCTACAGACAGAATATTTTTTCTGAGGTTTCGATTGGCTCTAGCAAGGTTAGGATCCCCGTCAGGTATTTATTGATATTAGTGCCCTTTTCAGGGAAATTCACGCTCTTTTTGTCCTGGTGACCCTTATTACTGGGCCTAAAAGTAAGGGAAATCCAAAAATGCAAAACCTCGGCACAGGTTCTGGTGGCAACTGCCTAATACTAGCCATACACAGGCTGAATGAGAGAATTGAGTCAATTCCCCCATCCACACTAAATAGCACGGAGAGATGAATCTCCCCTACTGGCTATTGAATAGCGATTGCATCTGGTTGGATGCAGTGTCTGTTCGGCCAATACATTTTCTACCCGACTCCTTCTATTTTTCAATTTACGTTCGTCAAGCTGTGTTTTGTCAACAGGGCCACCCACGGCTCGAATTTGGAAATTGTGTATCGGTACTTTATGAAGGCATTAGCCCCACTGCAGAGAGACTTCCTCTCACTTCTGTGTGTCCACGGGACAGAAAGTGAAAGCAAGTCTTCCCAATGGGACACAGATGGAACACAGCTTGTGTTGGTTTCCTCCCACACTCCAAACACATGCTGGAAGTTTAATTGGCTCCTGTATAAATTGGACCTGTATGTATGCATGTGAGATAGGGACCTTAGATTGTAAGCTCCTTGAGGGCAGGGACTGATGTGAATGTGTACTGCGTAAAACATTGTGCAAATTGTCGGCACTATATATATATATATATATACCTGTAATAAATAATAAAATAAATAATACCAAATCCTCACCTCTGCACCCAGGGAACCCCCTCAGGCTGTACAGAGGCCTTGTACAGCCATCTGCCCCCGAAACCCACATTTCACTGAACGGTTAGTACTGGCCACCTAAACATTACCACTGGTTTACGGGGTGCCATTATTTTGAGTAGAGACTTCTACACCGCTTACATCCACAAATTAGGGACCTGCTGCGTAGGCAGAGGAAGATTTGATGAATAATAAAGATACTTGCTAACACCTTGTGGAGGCTCTTATGATGTAATGACAGTCTAACACTTATGAAGACATAACTGGTTCCATTTAATACAAACAAAGATGTCTTACAGTGTATGATATTTACCTGGTATGCTCTTTTTATCTGATTAGAAGCCCAAGTGGCAAACTTCACATTGTCCTTCTTCATTTTTGCACTGGCTTTGGGGTTGGAAGCGATGTGGACTGATGACTGAAAACAAAAGCAGTTCAACATGATAAGTAAATATCACCCAACCCCTGATGGAGATTAATTACAGTCCATTAAACTACTCCATCTTCTGATGTCATTATGCACAAGTAAAACAACTCCACTGGTTTCATGTGACTATCTTGAGAGTTTCCCGTGTTTAAATCACTAACAGTCCACCGAGAATGTGTTAACAAGAATATCCAATTGAAGAATGCCAGGAATTCTCAATGACAAATGAAAGGAATTATATCTTATGGAAATAAAACAGTGTAAACCATGCAGAAGTAGCAATTACAGAAAAACAAATATTATAACTGCAAAATAAGTTTTGTTAACTAGAGGCAAAGGCTGGTGCTGCTGCTGATCTGCACCCAACTTAGCTATGGGCATATTACACTATGGGGTACACCTTTTTGCCATTTTTAGTTTCCCAATGATACAGGAGTACATTTTGCAATGTACTCCGGTAATAAAAAATGCACCCTAAGCTTAAAATTCAATGTAATACACTGTGGGCGGGGCTAAGCTCTGTGGTGAGACGTGATCCTGACAATATTGTCGAGATCTTCCTCTCCCAATGAGTGACAGCAGCTTGTAGGAGCTGCTGCACGTTCATGAGAACCTGTGTAGTCACAGCAGCTCAGGGCACATCCTGCCAAAGTTTATTCATGTCGTATCGCATAGGTCTACGAACACTTGCACACCCATCCCACAGTTTGTCCTCTGTCCACCACTTCCCTCAACACTACTGTATCCAGACAATAGACATACCACATCGGCACTAAGACAGTCAGTTCAACTCCATCCTCGTTCCCCTCCCATCCACTCTGCTGTCTAGCTCTTCTTCTCCTTGCGTATGTCCCAAGACAACAGCGTGGAGGGGAGGGGGGCGAGGACAGAGCTGAACTGACTGTCTACCACTCTTCTTCCCATCTTCTTCCAGGTTTGAAGTCTACAGTCTGACTTCTCCACTGGCTAGCCAGAGGTATTACTTTGTCCTCCTCGCTATAATTCTTTAAACTAAAGTTTAGCTCTGCTTTAAAGAGGATCTGAACAGTAGAAGCCGAAGCAGACCTTTTCCCAAATAATGACTTAACGTTTTGCTGTGCTCTGTGTCTCATTATGGAGGTGGATACCTTGGTAAAGGAGTAGGACTTGGCATTCTCATGTTAGAGCTGACCCCTAATGACTGGTGGGGTGGTGGATCAAGAAGCAGCAGCAACAGCAGAGGTGCAGATACCCAGAATGGATGAAGCAGAAAAAAGGGAGATGCCTACATTGCAGGCCCCCAGGTAGAGATCCCTCTCCATCAAGAACAGAAAGCAGTAGTGACCTCACCCAATCTCATGAGACTAGCAGTCAGAAGCAACAGTGTCTTAGAGTAATGATATGAAAATATAATTCTCCGAATCTCAATGAGACTTACTATATAAAGGCCAAACAACGCCCTCATGTTGTGGTTATTCAGCTTTAGAGACTGGGAAAAGTATTTCCTAGCAAGTTCAAGATTTTCAAGTCCACCTTGAGTGTATTTGACCTGATAAAATAAATAAATTTGTTTATTATTAGGACAAAAACGGCTAAGTCACAGAAAATGATGATCAATAAAACAAAGCTCTGTCTTACACACTATACATTCATTTAAAATCTGACTTGAGTTTCCGCGATGTAGCAACAGATAGCTTTCCTTAACTTTATTAATTTGTTCTGTTGCTGGAAATAAAGAAAATATCCAGTGCTCCCGGGTCTAGAGGGCCATGTGACTCACTCGACGGCACGGAGCTGGGCCAGTAACCGAGCCCTGTGTAAGCTACGCAAGAGTTACTGACAGTTTGAACAGGACTGCACCTAGAAGCTGAACAGTGACAGAGGAGAGGGATTTGAACTGAACCTTTTACTTCACACTGCAAGGGCAAATCACTGGTTCACTTTGAATGAAAACATTTTAGATAATCAAGCAACATACTCACTTCTGCAAACTGCTGATAGTAAAAGTGATTGTGCGGGTTTGTCATTATGAGTTCCTCCAGGCAGAAGGCCGCCTTCGCATAACTATATAAGAAGAAAAAGGAAAAAAAAAGGACAAAGATTACAAAGAGAATCAATATTCTTTAGCAAAAACCTACCAAACACTTTGGCCTATAATATTATTGATATTAAAGTGCCACTAAATTGATGTGGCAAAAACAAATAGGGGCAGTCCAGCAAAAAGTGATACTTCAGTCATGGGTCTAGAAGGGCTGGGGAAACTCAAGTAACTTACTGGATTCTTGTATCATATCTCCCAGTTTTTTCCTTTCCACCTTACAGTCAAGGAGTGTGGAAGGGTTAGAACTTCTTGTTAATTGTGTCTTTGCCTTTCATCCCAATGACAACTGCATCCCCCATTTCTTCTATGGGCATCACAGGGACAGGAAGTTGGAAAAATCTCCCCTAATGAGGTCCAGGTCAGAAATAAAACCTGATGGAAATTTTAACTCTTCGCTCTCTATTAGATAGATAGATGCCTGGAGTTAGGCTTTAAAGCACGGCATTAGAGCACATTATGGCAGACTTACCTAGCAGGTGATCACTTCCAGCGCCGTCATGTAGAACTCGCCTCGGTTGCTTCCATCCGCTCCCAGTCTTTTTCTAGTTTGGGCGTCTTTGGGGGTTACTTCATCTCAGCACAGTACCTTGACGAGTTTGTGCACTGTGCATACATGGCTTAGTGCACACAATTGCCGACAGGAAGGGAGGAGCAGTTATGACAAAAGAGACATAGAATCTCTTCCCTCATAAAAACCCTACCTGTCAGCATTTTTAATGGCTTTACTTCTACATGAAAGGTGAAAGAGAAAGTTTTAAAGAGAAAGAGTCGCTTCTAACAGCCACAGCATGTGTGCAAACCTGAGAACTCAACCACAGTGCTTACACTCTAACAGAAATACAAAATAGCAAAGCGATATACTCTTCAATAGTTGGTAAAAGCTGAAACACAACTTTTGTTTGGGCTGTCTGCTTGATAGCAACATAAGGCTAACAGTACAATAAGTGCAACGGTGGTGGCAAGGTGGCTCACATGTGAAAACAGAGGGCTGACTAATTCGAAAATCAGGAGCCAGGGGACAGTTTCAAAGTCAGTGGACGTGCTTAATTTGATAAAAATAGAAAAGGTTCCCAAAGGTCAGGCAGCAGGTGTATTGGTTACCTGGCTCCTGGGACTGCTCCAGCTCTGTGTGAAAGAAATAAGCTTGTTGCCCATATTGATCTGATTGCAACTGTCATTTGTGTAGTGAAGGTTAGAAAAGAAAGAGCTTCTGTTATTATGTGCAATACACTATCCATGCAGATGCCTATTGATGCTGAGGCCCACGAAGACTCTGGTACTTGAAAAGATGCTTTAGGAGAACTCGACATTGTTTTTGAAAGTCAGAGATTATACGCTGCCAAAGTGAGTAGTAGAATTCCCTGTAGGAGTATAAGGAAAATAAAAGCACAAGCCCAGTGTGCTAGGATGAGTAGTAACAACCTAACTGGAATAATCTCCCCCTGTTCGGCTTACCTGCTCCTGATGTTTAGATTGAGTTGCTTCCTGAATGTTGGTCAGTTCTGCCAAAAAACCCTCGACCCGTCTCCTAATATTGTTTTATACTCTTATACACTGAATGTGGGTTGGACAATGGCAAACAACTCAGGAACAGTATGATGAGATCATGATCATAATTACAGAGAAGTGGGGGTGTACTCAAATGGACTCCAGAAAAAAGGTTTTTTATGGCAAGTACAAAAATCCTATTTTCTTTCTAGTCTATTGAGGAACAAAGGAAGACTTTAAACTTCATAATGTCCAAAAACAGTCCAACTGAGGGATGGACAGCACAGCAAATAATGCTAACAGACCCAAGAAAGAACCATAAGAGACCACAACCTTGGAATATCATCTGTCTGAGCCACCTAGAGATGGTGGAACAAGAAGCTGGTGCACCCTTACAGGGACAATCCAGTATTACAAAAAGGGAATCAGTCTTTCATGAAAGCTGAGACTATCACAGACCAAACATCATCAATGGATGGAAATTTCCTTTTGATAAACAGCAGCCAGACAGAGGGACAGAAGAATGATGTCCTGGTTGAGGTGAAAGGCACAAACTGCCTTAGGCAAGAAGGAAGACCTGGGCCTCAACACGACTTTGTCCCTTTGCAAAACCAGTAAAGATTTCTTGCAGGATAAGGCCACCAGTTCAGACACTCGCCTCAATGAGGTGACAGCTATAAGACACTTCACCTTGTGACTGACATTAGAGAAAGGGATGTACCCATTAGAGAAAAACCGCAGTTTCTAAAGTGCACAAAGAACCAGACTAATGATTTCTGAGGCTCCAGGATTTACCTGAACTGCTGCAATGTATGGACAGTCAAAGCCATGTTGTCTTACAGAACCTGTGGCTACTGTTCCCTCAACAGGTGGTCGTCTCCGTATCCCACAATTGGAATGCCATGAAAGTGCAACAGGGCTAATAATAGGGACAGCACCTTGGTAAACACCCAAGGTGCAGAAGAGAGACTAAAGAGTAGGGCCATGAATTAAGTGCATGAGCCCCACAGTAAAACGTAGGAAATGTTGATGCATTGGAAAGATGGAGACAGGCAATTACATATTCTTGAAGTCCACAGAGGCCAGAAAGTCTCCCAGGTAAAGGGAGACAATGACAGACCTGGTGGATTTCATAAGAAATTCTGGGCTCAGAAGAAGAAATTCAGTGATTTAGTGAACAGAGTATATTCTTATGCAGGAACTGGGACAATGACATGTTGGTGCATAAGACCTGAGAAGGCTTGTTGGTATTCTGTGCGAAACCAAGGACGGGGCAGGGAGCAAAACAGTTGGTAGCCTTGGGATAGCACATCCTGAGCACAAGTTTTGGAGATGCAAGTTGTCCAAGCATCCACGAAGGCTCACAAAGCTCCCCTCACTCTGGAAAGCAGGGGTGCACTGTCATGCAGAAGACGACTTGTCTCAGGATTTGGCAGATGGAGTGCCAGACCTTGTGGGCAGTTAGGGAACCAAGTTTGGAGGGTCTCAACGAGGACGTTTCTTTACAGTCAGTCAGCCAGTCTACTCCTTAGGCTTTTTCCTCTGGGGTAGATTAATGCTCTTGCCACCAGTAGCATCCTTAATAACAGTATCAAGTGCCGTTACAATGAGACATTGTCCCTTTAAGACCATGCTGATGAAACGTTTCTTCCACAAGGGCTCCACAAGTATTGCCTTTAGATATACTTTAAAGTGACATTAAAGGTTAAGTTTTTTTCCCCTCCCCCCCAATATTAGTGTCAGCACTGACCTCAAATGATGTCTCCGATCCAGCGCCGACTCCTCTGTCCTTGCTGGTACTTCCTGTCCCACGGTGTCTGCATGCGGGTGCACGCGTCCATATACTTACCTCGTGTCTCTCCTCGTCTCCCGGGCGAAAATCCAAACTGTGCATGCGCCTGCTCCAAGATCAGGTAAGTATTAACCCTTTTCAAAATGTTTTTTTTTTTTTTACTTTTTGCATATACCTACTGCTTGCCAGCAGCAGATATATGCAAAAAAAACCCCAGAGGGTTTATATCTCTAAATTGATGACCTGTGGGGGCTTTTAAAGCGTCTTCTATGGACTTTTTGGGGTACTGGGGTTTTTCGCCGTTTTACGGATGCACGCAGTTTGTAACCTGGGCATGTTGGGTATCGTTTTACTCGTTGTAACCTCATCTTTTATATTTCATAAAAAAAAATGGGTATTTTGTTGTGTTTTGGGGCATTTAATTACATTTTTCACTAAATATTGGGGTTTAATAAGGAGTTGCGCTAATATTGCGCAACATAAAAATTTGCAACTACCACCATTTTATTCTATAGGGTCTTGGCATTCAGAAAATATATAATGTTGGGGGGTTTTAAGTAATTTTCAGGCCTAAAATTTGGAATATAACATGGGTACAAAAAATGAAAAAAAGGCCTCAGTCATGAAGGGGTTAAGCAATGTCATTTTTTTTTTAACCCCGTAATAGTAATATAATATTGAAGATGTTTTAGGAGAGCCAGTAAAAAAGAGCATTAACATTTCACGGGACCTCAATAAACTGATAATTCTAAAGCAGTCAAAAGGTTAATTATTTCATTATTCAGGCGTAACCAGATGGAATCCGAAGTCTTCACTATACACTCATCATGGGCAGGAAGGAAACAGACAATGCGATATAGAGTTATAGAATTTAGGCAGGGCAGAGCCCCTTAAGACAGGTAAAAGGACAAGCCTTTGCCTTCACTGGGAGGATAGAGTTCACACAATTATAAATGGGAAAAGTATCCTAGAAATGATGGCTAATCCATTGACACCAATGCTTCCTCCCAAAACTACCGCAATAAAACACAGCCAGTGTGCATATTCAGATCACAATGAGAATTCTTGACGGTTACATACTTCTTATGACAACAACACTGCTCTTTCTAAAAATACTATATACCTGTATAATAAAATGTATATATACACAGCTGTAGTTTTGGGTGTGTCTTCAAGTTAGCACCTGATCTCCCTAGACGTCCATTATTTTATAGCGTAAAGGTGGTCCATACACCAACCGTTGTACAACTTTTTTTTGTCCAAACATCTCACCCTCGTTCAATTTTCTTACAACTAGCCCAACATGCACAGACCAATGAAGTTCGCAATTAAAGTGATATTAAAGCCTCCTTTGCTTGAGGCTGTTGCCCTTTTTCTTTTAAAAGTTTTTAATTCCTCATTTTCAAGTGGGTCACCGCAGCGCTCTCCCCCCCGCATGGGTGCCTCCATCGTTCTAATGGAGGCACCCGTGCGCACAGTGGCTGTGTGCGTCCATAGACACACACAGCCCTGTGGCAGGCCACGCCCCTTCCCTTTGAATGACATCAGAAGGAGCCTAGGGCTCCTCTGCCATCAGTATCCTCCCCCTGCAACCAGGAAGTTCGGGGAACGGAGGATCGCTTCGGGACCGGCGGCGGGGACGAGCGTAGCAGGTAAGTGTGGGGGGGACAGGGGGGGAAAAAAAGTGCTGGGCCGTTTTTACCCTAATGCAAAGAAAGCATTAAGGTAAAAAACGCCCAGACCTTAATACTACTTTAATGTTCGACAGCACCACTAACTGGCTGATTTTCATCGATCGAAAGAACAGGTTTTCGTTTGAACATGTGCAGTTTGCATCTTGAGATTCTTGTTGTACAACAATGCCACTAACCCGTCGATTTTCATCCAACTAAACAAAAATTTTCTAGCCTGCTTGAAAGACAAAAATCTGCCAGTTGTACAGTAATTGGGTTTGTGCACTTCCCATCAACTGGCAGATTTGCGGACAAAAACACGATCGCAAAATTCTCCAGATAATTGTAAGGTGTATGGGCACCTTTAGCCAGGACCACATAAGTGTTCACAGCTGGGTGCACGCTCATACAACCAAACAAGAGACCAAATTGAAAAATCAATTGTTTAAAAAAATTAAAAGTCTCCATCTTAACAAACCTTCCCACCAGTCAGATCTGCTTTATTTGTGAACAAGATGTTTAATTGGTTATTCTAAAAAAAACTAAACTGCAACCAAACTTTTCTTTTTAGTCTTGGATAAACGTATAGACTTGGGAAGAGAAAATAAATACTTCCATCATGTTTTTATTGCTGTCTATTAGCATGTTAAGGTGCCCATACACCTTACAATTATCTGCAGATTTTCTGTGGTCAGATGGAAAAAGTGCAACAGATTGGCCCAGGTGGAGATTTCTCCAGCCACACAGTTAAGTGTAGATGGAGGAATCTGTTGCACCTTTTCCATCTGACCACAGAAAATCTGCAGATAGTTGTAAGGTGTATGGGCAGCTTTAGGAAGCCTTCGCCTCATTTAGGGCTTGTTCAGACCACAAAGCACTTATAAGGCACACATGCAGATGTGCGATTGTGGAGTTTCTGTTATGTGCATTTGCTGTTCGGACTTCTGTCCTTCTAGTACATGCAATGCAGCAAGCTGCAACACACATCAATAAAATGCAACCTGTCCCGATTCTCTAGTCTCCATTGAAAACAATGTTTCTTTTGCCTGTCCTTATGACACTCCACTGAACAAGGAAGCCCAGCAATGGTGGAGTGAAGGAGTCCTATGTGTCCCTGTGACAGCAGTGCAAGAAATTAGGTGAGTGGTTGTCACAGGGGCAGGAAGATACAAATATAAAAAAGTTAAAACAGTAATTCAACAATTTGTCTGGTTGCTAACCTGAAGTTCAGCTTTTACAAAACAAAATTATTATTGTGCTTTCTACTTATAACTAGTGAACAGTTATGACACAAAAACTCAGCAGATCTCTAAGTGTATATGCACTCTGATGGTTTTCCCACATTTTACATGCCTATGCCCCTGTGGAAGCATTTCCTTCAATATATAAATATAGCCACTGGTTGTGCTTATACAACATAAGTTCGTCAACTCTCGCCTCATTGACCGACCTTTACATAGGTTATCCCCTCTTCAGTCTATCATGAATGCTGAAAATTCAAAATACTAATATACATAGTCATTCACAACACTGCCCTGGCTACATCTTCATCCTCATCTCAAAATATCACCCAAACTGTCCTCTCTACTCCTCCCAAAACATCCTGCTGTCTAGCTCCTTCATCATCTCCTCCCATGCTCACCTCCGGGACTTCTCCAGAGCCTGTCCCAACCCCTGGAACTTCCTACCACAACCTATTCAGCTGTCTTTTACTTTGTCTGGCTTTAGACAAGCCCTGAAATCTAAACTCTATAGGGTAGCCTATTAAAACTGCCTCACAGTTATTACCATCTGTATCGCTTGCCCCCTCCTTGTAAGCTCTTATGAGCAGGGTCCTTCTAATCCTTTTGTATAGTATTGTAATTGTACTGTCTCCCCATATGCTGTAAAGCACCAAGCAAACTGCTGGTGCTATATAAATCCTGTTTAATAATAATAAGAAAGAATGTGGGACTGGTAGCAGCTTTGCTCGCCATCACATTCTTAAATCTATAGGATAATGATATAAGGGAGTGTGTTTTCTATTAACCTTTACTGTGAACCTGTGCTTGGTTCACAGTAAAGAATTATTGTAAATCCCAACCCCAAACAACACTTTTTTTTTATAGTTATAACCCCTGTCGTGTTTAGATTTCCCGATGGAGACACAAAAACAAAAATTGACAAATGTTCTACCTTTTCCAAAATTGATGAAAATTTTGGTTGCAATAGGTTTTAAAGAGACAATGTCACTGTTCCCGTTTAGGCTAAAGTGACCATTTTGGCTGGCACACCCTCTTCCCGAACAAGTCATACTCCCCAACCCACTCTGGTCAGAGACCATGTTCTATTGTTCTAGAGCAGTGGTTGTCAACCTGTGGGTCACAACCCACTGTTGAGGGGGTCACCACATGCTTTGTGCTGCGCTAGGTGAGAGGCTCCTCAGCCACCTCCTAGATCAGCAGTGTCAGTTCTCCGGCCGCACCGCTAGATAGCGCTGCAGCACTGGCAGCCAAGGAGGATCAAAGAGAGGGGAGCGGGCAGGAGTTGAATGCCGGCTTGACCACCAGAGAGCCTACACTGAGCTCACATGAGCCCACACAGATACTAGTATTGGTGCATTCCTAAATTTTACCATTGGGGGTCACTACAACCTGGCAAATGTTACCAAGAGGTCCCAGCCCTAGAAAGGTTGAGAACCACTGCTCTAGAGGATCAGGAATTCCAGACATGGCAAAGCATGCGACTTGCCATGTCTGGATGTGACACTGCTTGGGCCTGAGCGGCCAACCGCCTAACATTGGTACGCGGGGAGGGGTAGTGATGTCATCCACCCACCCAGGTAGGTTCCATCGCTGGTGCTTAACCCAGTGTCCTGCAGCGCAGAGGCAGCTAGTGAATGTAGATGGCTGAGTATATCTTGCTGGTGGGGGGTAGACTATCAAAAGAAACTGTCACTTTGCTCATTCGGTCTCTTCAAATTAACGTTACACTTTATTATTTAATAGTGAAGTCTCTATAAATTGCTTGGCCTTAATGCAGAGCACAGTGTTTTCATTGGATTGTAAACGTTTATATTCAGTTTTCTTCGTCTTCTATACCTTTTCCAGAGGACCATATAAAAGACTGCAAATTGCATTTTACACTACTTTTAACAGACAGCCCAAATATCCAAAGTAACTTACTCAAGTTCGTTGATGTAAAGTTCTGCAAGTTCGTGCCAAGCTTCTTGGTCACCCACAAATCTGCAAAAGAGAAGGGGTCAAATGCTTGAGATGCTGGGTGGGGTGGGAAAGAGCTTGGAAAAAGAACAGCTTGGATGCAAAAAAGGAGCCTAAGTCAAATGCAAATTCCTTTTTAATTAAAAAAAAAATATAGCACAAGTGCAAAACAAAATCCCCTAGTAAAACACTCACTGTTCCAGATACTCATTCAGCTCTCGGATTGCCTCTGCGTTTCTCCCCTGGGCTTTGCGAATGGCGATCTTTCTCTTTCTGGTCGCCTATAGGTTGACATTAAGAGAGGATTAGTCCCTTGGTTAAAGGAAGTAATTTGACTGTGCAAATTATTATCTCAATGCCAGAGGAATTCCAGCTCATGAGTGCGGTTTGGTTGGAGTGTATAAACACACCCTAAGCTGTCCCAATGACACAATGCAAAGCACCTCTGGTGATCACATGATGTATGGTCTGCTATTGATACAAACACTGTATGCATCACTTCACCCAAAGAAGTGTCCTGGCACAATGTAGTAATTACAAAGCAGCAGGGGAGGCTAATCCGCCTTTCCCATTTACTGGTATCTCTCCTTCCTGTGATTCCAATAATCTTTCAGGTTGTCCCGGAACCCAACTGATCCAGAAAAGGAAATTTAAGGGGACTAGTTCACTATAGATAATCTCCTAGTTGATTTTTCAACACATAATACAATGCAAACTGGAGGTCTTATACTGGCCGCCATACACTTATTTATCTGATCAGTGAAATAAATGACTGCATGATGGCATGAAATGCATTTATGGCCAGCATTAATCTGCATAACAGTCTTGGTTGAAAGAATAAGAATACTAAAGCATAAAACACAGGACCTATAACCTTGAAGGAAATTTGGCCACCATTGCCGAGATTGTAAAGTGTTTACTAGGCCTGGCAATCCATAGCTTCAAAAGAAGCTCCAAGCTCGCCCCTGTGATGGACTACAATCACAGTACAAATTAGTAAACTAAATGAGATTGTAGTCCATGGAGCAGTGACTACATTACAACAACCACAGGGACGATGGGGAACAAAAGTAGGCATCCTCCAGAAAGGACAGGGCCAGCACCAATCCAGCGGTGATTTGAGGATCTACAGCCGAGCGATTCACAAATAAGATACATTTTTGTTAGGAGTTGAGGTATGTATATGCATTTTTAAGTTTTACCTCCTGAGTTTAGTGTAGCTTGAAGCACAAGTCAATAAGGCCTAATGGATTGTATAGGCAGATCATAACAGGTGTGGCCAATGTTATCTGAGGGACACATAGTGCCCCACCACATGCTCTGGTACAGTACGATGCCTCTCTGCCTGGGCGGAAAGCTGAAAAGTCCCAACAACTCTTATGCAAATAATTACATGTGTCCATTAACCAGTCCCATGGAGGTCACATCAATCTTAGTGGACCTGAACGCATTCAGCTCGACTGCCCTGCAGCTGCCATTTTTCCTACTGCAGATGGCACAGCTATGACATACATAGTAACTGAGATTCAAACATCTCCACGTTACTACGGCTAGTTAAATGCTTGGAGACACAACACAAAGTTATACAGTTTCAAACAAAATGCTGTATCTTTCCAAAGCTTATAATGTGGTTAGGTTATGTGGTCGTGTTAGATAGCAGATAGAACAGTACCTAGCAAAGTGTAGTAAAAAATAAACTAACATTTTAAGAGAAGAGACAGCTCCCGGGAGCCACCTGAACATCTTAAGTCAGAGCGCTGCCAGATTTTCTGTAAAGTAGGCTCTGATCACTGCATTGTGGGATTTCGGGGAGAGACGTAGTGCCAATACTCCCACTAGCAGGAAGTCAATATTTACATAAGCATAATAGGGCGCAGAGCTCAGGAGAGACAGATGGAGAAAGAAAAGGTATGCCCCGGCACCTTATTATACCTTCTCTCCTCCAGAAAGTGTTTGTTTTTTAAGCTACAGATTCTCTTTAACTACATAGAAATTCAGCCAAAGCTGGAAATATTATATGTACTTTATAGCCAAAGTTTTCTAAACATAGGATTGGCACCAAAGCTCTGAGATAGAGTTATGGCTGGGCTTGGTAATTAGTTACTTTAGGATAGCATTTCATGGCTAGCAGTAATTCCAGACACCTAGAAATCCATGCTGATGTGTTATAAAGAGATCATGTTTAGAACGCACTGACAGCAGATATGCAACCAAGTGAAAAATGTTTATTCAAACACTGGAAAAAGGATAAAAAAATGTTTTATGTTCCCTGATTTATGTGATTGATCCCTATGTGTGTTGTAAAGTAGTCACCTCTCCAAGCTCACTCCCGTGATGGGCTACAATCTCAGTACAAATTAGTAAACTATTATATTCTATCACAAGAGTGAGCTTGGAGCGGTGGCTACTTTACAACACACACAGGGACCATGGGGAACAAAAGTAGTCACCCTCCAGAAGGAAGGACAGTGTCAGCACCTATTCAGAGATGATTTGAGGATCTACAGCCGAGTGATACACAAACTTGTTCAGCCTGATGAAGGGGATCCTGTGAGACCCTGAAGCGTCGCATTGAGTGCATCACGCTATGCGGTTCGTACGTCAATAAACAGACGTATTTGATTCACTTTTGGAGTGCTGTTGTCTCTATATATCCTACTAGCTGATACACAAATAAGATACATTATTGTTAAAAGGTACTTGAATGCATTAAGATTTGACTCCCGAGTTTACCATCACTTTATTGCACTTTAAAAAACAGACACACACTTTTTAATGCAACACACTGCAAAACACAGATGGCTCACATTTATGCGTTGCAGTGCACAGCAATGAAAAAGTATTGTGCTGAGTTGGGGTGCATTGGGGTACCATCAAAAATAAATGCCACAACAACGTATCCTACAGTGTTTAACGTGCTGCCGCGTGTTTTACCACAAGTTACTGTAATGTGATAGTGTGAATGAGACCTGGATTGGCAGAGGAAATTGAAGGGGTTCTGAGGACACACTAGAACCACACTGAAGATGGCTATCAGTAGTTGCCGACACAAGTGTGGTTCTCTCTCACCATGTGATCATAGGTTCATAAGCTATAACTGTGCTTTAACCTGTGCACCTACTAGTAAACCTACAACCAATAGCCCCAGCCCTGGAGTAATACAAAATCCCTACCGCAGCCATTTAGTCAAAACAGGCCAGTTTGGGTGGAAGCCAGTTAACCTATCAGAATATTACTAGATTGTAGGAGGACACCAAAGAACTTGGAGAAAACTCAGCCAAACATGAGAAGAACATACACACTCCAAAACAGATCAAGTCCCGGGAGAAGACTTAACTATGGACCACAGTGCTAACTACTAAAAGATACAACTTACAGTGGATCTCTAAAGCAAATTCTTTGTATTGTAGTTTTGAAGAAAACGGGGAAGGATTAGCCCATCTGTCAAGTTTTCTGTTACAATAATTTTTATTGATATTGTTTTGGCGAGAGTGACAACATTACAAGTATGCAGAAGGCAATGAAGAATCTCTTCTACAGAGACAGGTAAAGCACAATATACAGTAGATAATGAAGTTTGAATGCAGTGCATAGAAGTATCAGAAGATATTATTCAACTGTAACAATTGTAATGGTGCATGCACCTATTATGGCTGGCTCAATGATGCATATGTATTATATCAGGCTCCCAGTCCCTCCCCACAGGAGGGCTCCAGGGCCCAGACCCCCCGTCAAGTGATCATTGTGTTCCCCTTGAGGAGATTTACCACACTATTTGTACTGGTGAAGCACTGTCACCCAGAAAGGAAGGGGAGATGCAACATTTTAGAGATGTCCACAGAAGAAGATGCGAGAGAAATTAGGGGCTAGTTCACACCACAGTGTCTACCGGCCCGATTTGGTGCAACATTTTTTCTGACCGCACCGGAAAGCAGGCATTGATGTGCCACACGTTCGGCTGCGGTCGTTCGCACTGCGGCCGGGGTAAGTGGCTGCGGTGCCACTGACTTCATTGCACCGCCACGCCCCCTCCCGCGCCTGAACGCAGGGAGTCGGCTGGGATGCGGTTCAGTGAGTTTCGTCACCAGATCGGGCCGGAATTTTTGGTGTGAACTAGCCCTAAATCTTCCAAAGTGAACACTTGTTCCAGAGACAACTGTGCAATAAGGGAATTCCCATCACTTTGGGGAGACTTCCTCTAAATTCCTGTTACATTTTGTGGGACAGGAAGGGAGGGGAAACTTTCTCAAATGGTACACAGACAGCAAAAAAATCTAAGTGGCAGGGGGTTTTAACTCTTCTCCAAAACTAAAAAAAAATGTTTTGGGGTAAAAAAAATCAAATTATTGACCTGCCGATTCATACAATTCCTTCATTCGTTAAATTTTCTCTTGTGAGAGGAATGGGAGGGCTCTCAAATGTAAACCCAAGCAGTGTTTATATGTGCAATCACGGTGATTGGCCCTTACAGTGATAACAAGGTACAGAGCCGCTCTGATCACCTCTGTGCATTTTGCCTGTGATCTGTACTGTCTAATGACAGCAGGATCATAGTCATTGTGCAAACACTCTAGATCCCACAGTTAGGCTGCAACAGGAGCCTCACAATTAGTGCCCTTGTCCCAAATTACCTTCATCTACCACTGACAACCCCCCCTCCCCATTTGCCAGAACTTCAATGGGTGGTAAAGAATGTGCTAAGAGCTTTAACTGCTGTCCATGTTTCTTCATTTCCTGTCCTTGTGACACAAGGCAATGCTGGAGAGGCAATAGCAGTAGGTCAGGAGGGGGCCCCTTTTTACATTATGCAGACACTGTCAGTTTACCCTGACTGTGCAAAGTGACACTGTCTATTTAAAGCAAACTTGTAGAAAAACAATATAAGTAAACTGCTCCAGCAAAGACCTGAAAATGATTAGCGCTCAGCACAAACCTCTACTTTATCATGGTGGAGAACAGGTACACTGCCACCCGCTCCCCAACAATGCAATGTATGTGTTCACAAATGTTCAGAACATTATTAAAAGTATATTACTATGCTTTTATATATTATTACTAAAAGTAGACTAAGGTAAACACTATTCATGTTTTATATGTCTGAATGAACTTTGTTTTTGCTGAAGACTGATTCCATGGCCCTTGTAAGATCATGCGATATTAAACCGGGCAGACAAAGTGTTAATGTCCTGGTAATAAATTGCACGCACACAGCTGAAGGCAAGACTTAAATTTCCCCAACAGCTGCAGAACCACGGGGTGCTCGAGTCTGAAGCAGTAACTA